TGGTGATGGTACTGGTTGTGGTACTGGTTGTGGTGATGGTACTGGTTGTGGTGATGGTACTGGTTGTGGTACTGGTTGTGGTGATGGTTGTGGTGATGGTACTGGTTGTGGTACTGGTTGTGGTACTGGTTGTGGTGATGGTACTGGTTGTGGTGATGGTCGTGGTTATGGTACTGGTTGTGGTGATGGTACTGGTTGTGGATGATGGTCGTGGTTGTGGTACTGGTTGTGGTGATGGTACTGGTGATGGTACTGGTTGTGGTACTGGTTGTGGTACTGGTCGTGGTGATGGTACTGCTTGTGGTGATGGTACTGGTTGTGGTACTGGTTGTGGTGATGGTACTGGTTATGGTACTGGTTGTGGTACTGGTTGTGGTGATGGTACTGGTTGTGGTGATGGTACTGGTCGTGTTGATGGTACTGGTTGTGGTACTGGTACTGGTTGTGGTACTGGTTGTGATGATGGTACTGGTTGTGGTACTGGTTGTGGTACTGGTTGTGGTGATGGTACTGGTTGTGGTACTGGTTGTGATGATGGTACTGGTTGTGGTACTGGTTGTGGTACTGGTCGTGGTGATGGTACTGCTTGTGGTGATGGTACTGGTTGTGGTACTGGTTGTGGTGATGTTGATGCAGTGACGATGCTGGTACTCCTGGTGAGACCTCGTTGGTGATGGTTGAAATGCTGCATTTATTTAATAATTTAACAAACAAAAAAACCCTCTTCCGCTCGTCTCATTTATTCATTCTCATGGCAACAATTTCCAATAATTGAAGTGGCTAAATAATGTTTTAAGGAAATGTCAAGGGAGTGGGGCAAAACAGGAGTTGTGGTCGAGACTTCTTGGAAAGGACTGAAAGGGCCCCAACACTAATTAGACGAACACTCGGAGGCTCCCGCGTGGAAGAATGTGAACCCACACACTGAGATCACAGCAGTCTCCTCGTGTCTGTGAACTGAGATCACAGCAGTGACCTCGTGATTGTGAACTGTGATCAGTATCCTCGTGTCTGTGAACTGAGATCACAGCAGTGACCTCGTGATTGTGAACTGTGATCTCAGCAGTGTTCTCGTGTCTGTGAACTGTGATCAGTGTCCTCGTGTCTGTGAACTGAGATCACAGCAGTGACCTCGTGATTGTGAACTGTGATCTCAGCAGTGTTCTCGTGTCTGTGAACTGTGATCAGTGTCCTCGTGTCTGTGAACTGAGATCACAGCAGTGACCTCGTGATTGTGAACTGTGATCTCAGCAGTGTTCTCGTGTCTGTGAACTGTGATCAGTGTCCTCGTGTCTGTGAACTGAGATCACAGCAGTGACCTCGTGATTGTGAACTGTGATCTCAGCAGTGTTCTCGTGTCTGTGAACTGTGATCAGTGTCCTCGTGTCTGTGAACTGAGATCACAGCAGTGACCTCGTGATTGTGAACTGTGATCTCAGCAGTGTTCTCGTGTCTGTGAACTGAGATCACAGCAGTGACCTCGTGACTGAGATCTGTGATCACAGCAGTGTCCTGGGTTGGGTCTCTCAGATTCTCACCTGACCTACCCCCAACCCCCATCAATTGTACAAAGTGAGCTGCACGTCACTCAATTACCGTAAGCCATGATCTATTTTACTGCTGGAAGAAGCCATCCCAATGCTAATCGGAGCTGCAATGGCACAATCGATCTTACTCCTGCACAGGGGCTGATCGCAGCACTCCGCCAATGCGTTGGATGTCCTGTTGGCAACGTTCTCTCCTTTGGCTTCTATCGTGTCACCAGTCTCGTTCATCCACCGTCATCCCGTCCAGCCAAATTGGCGTCGCAGATTTACGTTTGTTCTTTCCGTCTCTCGGTGTTATCCCAAGCAAGGATCTCTCCATCCTTGTTCGTGCACATTTTCACCTTTTCTATTTTCTTCCAAAACATTAATACGTATATTAACATCCAACAATCCTAAAATAACCAATGTAACTTCACATAACGTCAACTTAATATTACACACCGTACTGATTCGCAACAATACTCGGTAGAGCCACTGAGATAACATCAAACAACGCTTCGCACGGATAGACTCAATCCACACAAAACTGGACCCAAATCCCCAAATGTAACCCTTAACATAATCCTACACATCCGACACAGACCTCCCCTTATCTGCTGATCTTAACCATGGATGCAACATTACCTCTAACCGCTCGCATCAAAGGAACCCTTAGTTAGTTGGTCAGTCCTCTTCATCCCCTATGGGACATGAGACCGCATTGCTGCATTGACATCTCTTGATTGCCTCGGACACCCTTGCAAACGAGACTTTTCCATCTCAAGCGACTGTCCAGATGCGAAACATTTTAAACAAGTAACTAATTTCATGGCCCAAATCTCACGGCAATGGATATTCCCAGGCAGTCTCAACTTCTTAAAACTCCGATTTAAAGCTTTCGTGACTGCAGGGATTCATCTTCTTGGTTCTTTCGGTAAAGCCACGTAGAAGGGAAGTAATAAAATAAGAAAAATAAAACATAATAAAATAATTCTCACGACGTTTCGGCCACAACAGGTGAGGACGGCTGCTTGCGTTGTGGCCGAAACGTCGTGACAATTATTTTATTATGTTTTATTTTTATTATTTTATTACTTCCCTTCTACGTGACTTTACCGAAAGAACCAAGAAGATTCTTAAAACTCCGTTCCTCGGGCACGGCAAGACTTGCCCAGCCAGGATTGTTCACCCGACGACGCTAGGGGGGTGGTACGAAGCCTTCTCAAGCGCGGCCTCATGGACCCCTAACCCCTAGCCCTGCCAACCGGACATCCTAAACGCGACGAGCGTCTCTCAGTTCCGTGGTCTGTGCAAGACGACACGCACCTGTTCAGACTCGCCTTCCCATAAAATCAAAAAAATTGAGAAGGGAGGGGGTGGGAAAACTGTTTCTAAATTTGTCATTTATTCTATTTTATTTTTTACGACTCACATTTCCGATGCTGTTCGTTGTGCACAGATGCACTTGATTTTGGCGCGCGGTTACAATTGACTTTGCTCAAGTCGGTGTCAGCCGCCGCCGAGGGCGTGACGGCTTTCTGCTTTCACTCCTATTGCTCCGTGCCCCCCGGCACCGTTCCCGTTCCGCTGTCGTGCGCACCGATGCCTACTTTAGTGAGGGCGACATTGGCGCGTTAAATACAGATCGATTGATCGGCTAAAACACGAAGCAGGCTGCACCCCCTGCTTAGCTGCTGAGATATGACGAGATCACCCGGCAATGTCTCTAGACCCTACCAGGTAGACGCAAACCCTTGCAATGTGCCACGTCTGTGTTGAGCGTGTCAGCCACCGGATAACCATCTGTCCAGTTATTAATATAATACACAATTAAACTTTGAAAACAAATCTCAACTATTGTTTTTTATCTTACTAAGTAAGGCCCACTGAGCTATATAGCTTCTTTGTCAGAAGCGACCTGGCCACAAATGATTGCTCAACGAAGTGGCTTATCACGTGGAAATTTACAGCAACCAAACACTCAAAATGCATGTTGATTCTATATGTGGAGGGGAAAACTGGAGGACGCGGACAAAAAACATCCACGCGACCACGGGGAGAGAGAGACACGCAAACTCCAAATATACAGCAGCAGGTGTCAGGGTCGGGATCGAACCCACGACCTCCTGGATACCAGGCGAGGTAGTTAATATCTCACTGTACAATGATCCAAATTCATTGACATCGATAGAGGGCGGTGACATGACCAAGCAGGAGCATATTCTTAGGTTTTTTCGGTAAAGTCACGTAGGTAAAAAATTAAAATTATTTTTTACCTACGTGACTTTACCGAAAAAACCTAAGAATATGAATCCTTGCAGTCACGAAAGCTTCAAATCTAGAAGCAGGAGCATGTTCGCCGCTCGTTGCCGAGGTTCTGGGCTCGAGGCCGTCCTCGTTATTACTGCGGCCGTATTCACCGCAAATACGTTGCACCGTCTGCTTCACAGTGGACCTTAGAGATCACGTGACATTAGTAGAAATATGGTAGGCTACGTGTGCTGTAGTCGAACGCCAAATGATCGCATTGTTCAAGGCCGTAATTATAATATATATTGGGAGGACACACACCCCCCCCTCCATTATTCAAATATGCTCAAAATGTCCCCCCCCAATATATTGCTGTGAAAATAAAAATTGCTATGCTATGTAAATAAAAATAACATTTTGCTAAACCTTGGTCACAATATCTGGACTTGTCTTCGTGTAAATCAATGCATAGATTTTTGTTCATATGATTGTGGTTATGGTTCATACTCTTAGGTTTTTTCGGTAAAGTCATGTAGGAAAAAATAAGTAATAATTTTTTATTTTTATTATAAATAATTAATTTTTATTATAATTAATTAATTATTTTTTATTATTTTTCCCCTACGTGACTTTACCGAAAAAACCTAAGAGTATGAATCCTTGCAGTCACGAAAGCTTCAAATCTAGAATTGTGGTTATGGTTGTACTTTATTAATCCCTAATCTCTGCAATTACATACAATGAAACAAGAAATGGTAAAAAAGTAAAAACAGAGCAGTGTAATACAATACACTATTAGACATTATTGTAAAAAATAAATAAAAAGTCCATCCCATGTGTTAGTGAATTTTTTTTATATTTTAGGCAGGAAATTAGTTTTCAAATTTATATTTTTTTTCTGGGGGGGGGACCCCCAGACCCCCTGGAAGATTTGCCCCCCCCGCAATGTTGACTCCATAGCTACAGCCTTGGCATTGTTTAAGTTTACTTGCCAATTACTTCATTGGGCAACTTCGCCGCTACGCACTACTCCGGACTAGAATCGTCCCGTGAAACGCGGCAAACCTTTGCGACAGCCTCGCGCTGTGAGAATTGCATGAACGCCAAATGCGCCCGTCGATTCCGTTTCGTTGGATGGCAGTGGAGGACCCGGTTTGGGCCCGGGGTCCGGGTGCGGATTGGGCAGCGAGCGAACGTGGGTCGATGCAGCGACGGGAAGCTCACCTCCAGGTCGTTGAAGAAGAGATGGGTGTCTGCCAGGTTGAAGATCAGCTCCTCCATGCGTAGCCCCAGGGCCATCGATGCCGCGTGATCCTGCACGAGAGCACGTGGCCCACGCGGGCGGTCGTTACCGCGGGGCAGTGTTGTAGTAATAGGTTTTTACCCTTTTATCTGGTACAAAAACTGACACCTTTATACAAGGGATCATGTTTGCAATAACCACAACACAAGCAGTCAAATTGCAAACAAAAAGAAGCAACTCTGATGATGATGATAATGATATGCACTGTCCTTGAAGTTGTATAAAGGTGTCAGTTTTTGTACCAGATAAAAGGGTAAAAACCTATTACTATATTTTGCTACTGGCAAAGGAGGTCTCATAGTGTAAATGCTTACCCTGAGCTCTCAATACTCTGATAGTGCGCTGTTTTTGAGTTGTACGCCTTTTGGCGTCATCTGGTCCAACACCAATGGAGACTAGGCTCGAAGGAAAAGCTGTCTCGGGTGTGGACCAATGAACTTCAAGGACAGTGCTTATCATTATCAGAGTTGTTTCTTTTGTTTGCATTTTGACCGCTTGTGTTGTGGTTATTGCAAACATGACGCCTTGTATAAAGGTGTCAGTTTTTGTACCAGATAAAAGGGTAAAACCTATTACTATATTCTGCTACTGGTTAAGGAAGTCTCATGGTGTAGGGCAGTGTTCTTCATTGCAAGGGCGCCCGGTGGCCTTTAGTGAGGCCCCCGACAATATGCAATCGTGAAAACACCCCTTTGGAGGCGGTGAGGCGGCCCTCACACTGACGTCTTATCGGCGAAAGTGGCTGCCCCCTCTGAAAATGAGTGAAGAACACTGCCATGGTGGAAGCTATGAACGATCTGTCCCGTGAGTCGGTAGCATGGCGCTGTCTGCCGACCCCTCCAGTCAATCTTTGCTCAGTGGGTGTTCGCTCCTTCTCCTTTGCTGCACCCACTGTCTGGAATGCTCGTCTCCCGCCCATTCGTGCTGTTTGCTCCCGCCCGCTGTTCAAGTCAAGGCTCAAGACCTGCCTATTAACTTCTGTCTGTGAATGTCTCTTCTCTTGAAAACAATCTGTTTGCGGAAATTCCGCGAATAGGTCCCAACAGAATGTGTGCCGCCCAATTCCGCGAACTGTCCCACAGCCAATCATCAGCCAGGGTATGTGCTGAGGAGGCTCCGGGCTATCGAAAATGAACAAAGAGTGTTTCGATTTAAAGCTTTCGTGACTGCATGGATTCATCTTCTTGGTTCTTTCGGTAAAGTCACGTAGAAGGGAAGTAATAAAATAATAAAAATAAAACATAATAAAAAAAAGAGTGTTGGTACGATGACGATCACGGAGATGTCACAAGCCACAGAGGGCTCATGTCGTCGGTCTGTCATGGCGTAGCATAAAGCACAGGGGCTGCACCATGTGGGCAATGTAGAGCGTGCTGTATGTGTACACACCACTTTGTGTGAATGGGTTGTTGATCCTGCACGAGTCCACCAGCCAACTGCCGGCGAGTGACATCTAAAACCCGAACACGCAGAGCTGTCGGCTTCATGAAAACTCACTTCCTATGATCACTGTTTCATTGCTTTATTTTGGTGATTTCGAAAAGTTTACTGGTTTGGCCATGTTTGTTTGTTGTAGTACGGAGTAAGACTGATGGCCTTAATCTAAGTTGTCTTCACTATGGGGACCTCATTTGCCAGTAAAAATATGATAATTGGTTCTTTACCCTTCTATCTGGCAAAAAAAAAAAAAAAGGTGTCAGTTTTGTTGCCAGATAGAAGGGTAAAGAACCAATTATCCTAAGTTGTCTTGTGGTTGTTGTTGTTGTTTGACTTGCATCCCACTGGGATTTTTGCACACAGCGTTGGTGTACGGTGATTTTTTCTGCAATATTTTGCTGTCTTTTCTTGGAATTTATGTTTGCACTTAGTCACATATTCACTTTAAGAGGTTTTCTTGTTCATGTTTTTGTTTGTTGCGGTTGCACCCGATTTAAGAGTCGAATGGCTCACAGGGCTATACCTAATAAATAAACTTGAGCTTGAACTCGCTCACACACGGAGACCCCCATATAGTCTCGTGACCGGTTGAAGGCCAAGTGCGGTCAGGGGACAGTGGTGTTGGCCAGACGCATGCCAGACCACCTTTGCGTCCCCATCGCCGATGTTCACACACGACATCGGCTGCTCATTTAAGGCTGCGTCCGACCAATGGGGTGACCCAGGAATGGTTCAAATTTCAGTCACCACCGGTGTTGGCCGTGGCCGGAAATCTCATACACAGGGGTCGCCGGGTTCGCAGCGCAGTACGGTACCTGCTGCACCGCTGCTCGCTACACGCACGCCCACAAGACAAAGATCCCTCATATGGCCTTAACAGACTTTTGAGGCGATTGCCTTTGGTGAACGCCTACGAACGCCGGCATGGCACACGAGGGGTGTGGGTGGGCCAGCACCACGCCTGGACGCCTCTGTCTCCTAATTGTTTACACACCATCACACCAGGCGCTCATTTGAGGCAGAGTCGACTTAGGGGGAGGCCCACTACCGGTTCAGATAATCGTCGCTGGTGGTGGCCGCGAGCGGGAATCGAACTCGGGTCGCCGGGTCCGTAGCGCAGCGCTCTAACCGCCGCGCCACCACTCCCCGCGCGAACACGCACCCGACTATACGACCAAGGTGGCCTCAATCATCTGCCATCGGCAATGAGAACCTAAAGCAATTAGGGGTACAATACCCAAGCAGTTTGGGCAGATGGTTCTTTTCAATGGCACGATCAATTAAAAGTGCCTCACATCGCGGCCCGCTGCCGCCGTACGAGTGCTGAGCGTGTACGGCAGCGGAGAGCGCGTTTGCGTCACAGCCACTCTCCGGAGAGTGGCCCCCATCGCACGCGGTGGCGGGGGGGGGGGGGGTGGGGCTTTATCGGCCTCCGGTCGCCACCGGCGCCACCACCAAACGCCGGTCGGGGTCCATGCGGAGGAGGCCCCTGTAATGCAACTGGCAGTCCTCACCTCGTCACGGCTATTAAAGCGGATGGCGGTAGTGGAGGAGGAAATGGGGACCGAAGAGCGGAAATTGCTGAGTGTTTGGTGGACGCGGGGGGCGGGGGGCAGGCTGTGAGTGAGGAGCGATAGCGGGCCGTGTGGGGGGGTGGAGATGGGAGATGGGCGCCGTGGTGTCGAGACGTTAACTGCCTCGCCTGGTCTACAGGAGGTCGTGGGTTCGATCCCGACCCCGACGCCTGCTGCTGTATATTTGTCTCTCTCCGCGTGGTAGCGTGGACTTTTCTCCGGGTCCTCCGGTTTTTCCCTTCACATTTAGAAACATGCGTCACGCGTTTAGAGTATTCGGCTGCTGTAAATGTCCACGTGATAAGCCACTTCGTTGAGCTGTCATTTATGGCCAGGTCGCTTCTGAAAAAGAGCTATGTAGCTCAGTGGGCCTTACCTGGTAAAATAAAATGAATCAATCATAGTTTATCGATGGGAGAGAGATGTGGGTGAAAAGGAATAGATACAGTGTTGTACTGGTGGTGGTGACTGGCACAGTGTGTTGTTAAACAATGCAACCTAGATACTCACTAATATAAAGTTTTTTTTTTAAAGGACGTAATGATGAATTAATTAGTTGAAATCGATCCTTATACTCACGATGGATGTATTGAATAGCAGTGTTAAGCATTGATTATTTCCAATTCATGTAGGTGTAGTATAGTTTTTATATCAAAGTGCATTCCACAGATGCACAAAAGAATACAATCTTCGTACACCACAGTGGAAAAATATAAACATTTCAGAGATCTAATTATGAACCCTGAATTGTGGTAATGTCATTTTTAATAGAGGTTCTTGGGTTAGATTGCGTGAATATAAATGTTTCGTTAAACCCGCCACCACCCGCCACAGCCAACTAGTAAGGGTTGTCACGTAAACAGAACACACCAATTCGTTACTAGTACAGCACACCGATGTGTTGGAGAGTAAACCCATAACATTTACAATTCGAGTACACGGTGGGTTTACTCTCCAACACACCGGTGTGCTGTACTAGTGACGAATTGGCAAGTTCTGATTACGTGACAAACCTTACGATTTGGCTGTGTCGGGTGGTGGTGGGTTTAACGACACATTTATATATTTACGTGATCTAACCCCAAAAACCTCTATTATGGATATTGGTCGTGAAATTATTTCTGTTAAAATGGCATTGTTGTTGATGGGAATTGGTATATCCTATAACTTGTATGAGAACATTGTCACGGTTTTTTTTTTGTAATAGTTACTCGCTGGTAATTTGTCTAACTTGAAAAAATATATTTTCAGTTTGATTTAAGTGTCTAAACAATAATATACAGTATAGTGTCAGCCAACTTTACCAAGTTGCACATATGTACAATAAAAAAATATGCTCTTTAAATATTTTCGAATACATCTTCTTGGTTCTTTCGGTAAAGTCATGTAGAATGGAAATAATAAAATAATAAAAATAACACATAATAAAATAATTCTCACGACGTTTCGGCCACAACGCAATCAGCCGTCCTCAGACCTGTTCTCCACCTGAGGACGGCTGCTTGCGTTGTGGCCGAAACGGGCTGAGAATTATTTTATGATGTTTAATTTTTATTATTTTATTATATCCATTCTACGTGACTTTACCGAAAGAACCAAGAAGATGAATCCCTGCAGTCACGAAAGCTTTAAATCGAAATTTATTTTCGAATATTTTCGTCTTGTCAAAATGGCACCCGATTTTTTTGATCCCTTCCTCAATCCACTGCTGGATGATGGCCTCCACACCTCGCTGTTAGACATGGATGTTGTACAATGACCATAGTTCACCACGCTGGTCAGTGCGCTAGCTACTTGGGCAGGAGAAACCAGGACCGGTTTTGATATCAATCGCCACCAATGTTGGCCATGGCTAGGAAGTGAACACAATTTGCCAGCGCTCACAGCGCAATGTTCACTAACTGCTGCACCACTGCTCTACCCAGACCTTGAATAACAACAATACCTTGTATGTTAGACATTTTGAGGTCTATCGCTCCACGCTAGATGCGTCTTGATGGGCCCTCACTCTGCTCTTCTGTTTAACAAACGGATGACTCAGGGAAGAGAGAACACGCGAGAGAGATGCCAAACAAGCGGCGTGGACAGAGAGAGGACAACGCGCTACGTAGAGACGTAGAGACGTTGAGAGAGAGAGAAGGTGGAGAGGTACACAAGAGACGGACAGTTCTCTTGCTGGCTAAATGCGGACCATGTGTGACTTCCTCCAATGGCAGTCGTTGCCGATGCCCAGCCAGCCTTTGAAACCGACACCGGGCAATTTACACAAATTTGGTAGGAAATGGGTGGCAATATTGGGTTCTGGTATGCGTACATTCCCAAACTGGGAACAGCTTAAATAAATAACAAAATAAAATAAAAATTGTATCAGACCCGTAACCTCTGGGGTCTTCCTACCTCCTTCAAAAGTCATGTTCGTGAGTCAGCCGCGCTGGCCGTTGAGGAGGTGCGCATGCTGTTTTGTGAAGTGTGTGTTTTCCAGAGGGGATAGCAGCTCATGTGCTGTTAGTTACTTTGTTAACGTGACATAATTGTTAATGGGGCGAGTGCATTGCCAGCGAGCAAACGTAATGCAAGTGCGGTAACACAATTCAACATTTTCACGGTCCCAGGCCAGCTTCGGCAAGTTTACACTTAAATACAAAACAAATCACGCACGCGCGCACACTCCCGTCGCACGGGTCTGTGCTGTGCGATGGGGGTGTGCGCTTGTGTGCAAGTTTGGATGAGAGCGAGTGTGCCGTGTGGATGGGAGTGAGGGTGCAGCGTGGATGGGAGTGTCCGTCGGTGAAGGCTCGTACCTTCCCGTGCCGAGCTGCAAAGGAACCTGTGAGCAGCGAGTGAAAGACGATGATTGTCTCATCCAGGTCCCAGATGAACACCCGCTGTGAACGGCATTGCAGAGTCACCATCTCGCGCGACGTTCCACTCGTTACGTAACAAAATGAAACACTTCACGCAAACAGTGGAACCGGGCTACGAACAGGGGGTAAACGTACTCTTTGGTTTCTTTCGGTAAAGTCACGTAGGTAGAAAAATTATTCTAGATTTGAAGCTTTTGTGACTGCAAGGATTCATACTCTTAGGTTATTTCGGTAAAGTCACGTGGGTAAAAAATTAAATAAAAATTAATAAAAGTAAAATAAAAAATCATGACGTTTCGGAGGCAACGCAAGCTTCCGTCTTCAGGTGGAACCGTCACAGCACGATACAGTAATCGTGATTTTTTATTTATTTTTATTTTACTTTTATTCATTTTAATTTTATTTTTCTACCTACGTGACTTTACCGAAAGAACCAAAGAGTATGGATTCCTGCAGTCACGAAAGCTTCAAATAAAGCGGGTAAACGGTTCGCACACCGGATCCATAACCGCAGCGGGCGCCGTTTCGATCTCCCGACGCGGCAGTTAAAGCAATGGGGCACAGCTTCTGAAATCCTCCGGCCATGTCCCCACCGCCTCAGTCCAACCCGGCGGCACAGATGGATTCAAACCACAGTTAGTCGATCGGAAGGGCTGTGTGCGGTGGGGTTAAAGTGTGGGTACTTCCACCTCTTCCAAGTCGTCTGGCCGGGGGGTGTAAGGGTAGGACAAACGCCCTCTTGAGGGGTCCCCCTCTCTAGAGCCCCTCAAATGCTCAGCAAGCAATTCGCAGGGCGGCACCTATAGCTTTGAATTATTACACGCGCATATTCCAATCACAAATGCTGTGGGCGCATCACTGCATCGCGCGCTTTCAGATGCGTTTCTGTGGCCGTCTGGAATGCTCTTCCTTACGATATTATAAAAAGGCACTGGAGCCATGCAATTTTAAATCATCTAGATGGAAAACCCATTTCTTTGACACTGCTTTTTGTGTTAAGTTTGTTGTCCTTACCCCCGCACCTCCGATTAGCACGGTTGGCTACGTACGTACGGTGCGAAATAATTCCAACACACATGCACACATTGAAACCTCATTTCTTCAAAACCGCTTTTTTGCGTTCAGTTTGTTGTGCGTCCCCCCACACCCCCGATCAGCACGGTTGGCTACGTACGTGCGGTGCGAAATAATTCCAACACACATGCACACATGGAAACCTCATTTCTTCAAAACTGCTTTTTTGCGTTCAGTTTGTTGTGCGTCCCCCCACACCTCCGATTAGCACGGTTGGCTACGTACGTACGGTGCAAATAATTCCAACACACATGCACACATTGAAAACTCATTTCTTCAGAACTGCTTTTTGCGTTCAGTTTGTTGTGCGTCCCTCCACACCTCCGATCAGCATGGTTGGCTACGTACGTGCGGTGCGAAAGAACTTCAACATACGTACGTGCATCACGACAAACGATTGCGCCCAAGTGAGACGAGTTTTTTGTCCTATTAACAAAAAAAATTACAGAGAAGCCGTTTAACATGGGCCCGGTCCTAAGGCGGTGGAGGCGGGAGGGTGGGGAGGAGGAGGTGGTCGCTGCCCACCTCCAGGTTGCTGTCCGGCATGGGGCTGGGGTTCTGCTTGCGCCCGCGAACTCGCGAGCGGCCGCTCCCTCCCCGACGCATGCGCTCGTCCTCGTTGCTGCCGCCCCTCGGAGACACCACCACCAGCTGCTGCGGCGGCGGCGTGCCCAGCTCTGCTAGGCGCGCGCCACGGACAATCGCCGATCAGGCTGGACGGTTCCGAGTCCGTGTCTGGTGAGTATTTTATTTTATTCTTATTAGCCTCGGGCCGGCGGGCACACAGGCTGGTCCTCACCTCCCGTGGCGGGGCACACAGGCCGGCACATAAGGTAACAACAACAAGAAGCGCCGTTCACCACTAAGCGGCAGCGACGTCACCACGGCGCCTGTGCCGTGGCGCTGGGTGCACTTGGAGGCCGCGTGAAGAGTCAAAGGCTCGCTGGCAGGAGGTCACGGAACAGACCCAAGTGCCACGGGTTGACTACTGAGCTGGCTGGCAGATGCACCAAATGTTGCTCCCCAACATAGGATAACATAGAGGCCGACACAAACAGATGAGCACACAGGCTGGTCTCACCTCCCATGATGGGCGCACAAGCTGCTGTATAACTGGAGGCACACAGGTGGGCATGCAGGTGGACACACATTCTGGCACACAGCCTGGCACACATTCAGGCACACAGCCTGGCACACAGCCTGGCACACAGCCTGACACACAGCCTGGCACACACGCTGCCATGCAACTGGGGCACACAGGCGGGCACCCAGATGGACACCCAGTCGGACACACAGTCGGACACACAGCCTGGCACACAGTCTGGCACACAGCCTGGCACACAGTCTGGCACACAGTCTGGCACACAGTCTGGCACACAGCCTAGCACACAGCCCGGCACACACGCTGCCACGCAACTGGGGCAAGCAGGCGGGCACCCAGATGGACACCCAGTCGGACACACAGCTGGACACAGTCTGGCACACAGTCGGACACACAGCCTGGCACACATTCCGGCACACACGCTGCCACTCAACTGGGGCAAGCAGGCGGGCACCCAGATGGACACGCAGTCGGACACACAGCTGGACACGCAGGCTGCCCTCACCCCCCATGGCGGGCACGGCACCCGTGTGCTCCTGCGCGTGGTAGGGGGTGCCCCCGGAGGCCGAGGATGACGACGAGGTCCCTGCGCTCGCGTAGGCCGGGTTGTAGCCAACGCTGGGGTAGTAGCTCTGGTACTGGGTCTGCGGGGCAAAGCCTGCGTAGCCCGACACCTCCTGAGGGCGACGCACGGAACTCCGCGTTGGCGGTCGGGACGCGCGGTTCGCCCGCACGCACCGTGGTGGCGCAGTCATTGCTATTGCGTTCCTGAAGAACACTGGGTTACGATGAGTGATATATAATGCAGGGTGAAGCGCAGTCCGCGATGACACGTGAGATGCGTACGCAGCCTGAACAAAGGCGGAGGAGGCGCGTGGGTAGCTTCTAGAAGCATCCAGCAGCATCCCAGTGCCTTGTTGCGTGACGCTGCTACGCCGAGGCGGCCGTACCACCGCTTGTTCCTACTCGCGCGACGTAGTTCCGTTCGCTCGATCGCGTCAGATCCAACTCGCATCGGCGTGATAAAAAAATGCGTTCCCTAATAGATTCATGGCGTTATATCCAATTCGAGTTATGAACAAAGAAAAAGACTGTGTCCCACTGGAAACGATCATCGCCTCCCGACGTTTGGGATCGGAAATCGATTCCTAAAACAATTCCCAGCTTCCCGATGAACCTTCGAGTCACCGAATTAGCAACCGGCACAAGGCACTTGACTTGCTCCTCCTCAGCGGGAAGCGTCCCATGTCCAAACAGTTTGCGGGGCAGTCGCATTGCCCGTTCGTTCATCTACGGAGGTCACGTGCGAGACGTCTGGCCAGCGTGCAAGAGTGGGCAAAGTAAAATGCAGAGGAGCTCTCTAGAGCTCCTGTCTCTCGTGGGGGGGGGGGGGTGGAGGGGGGTGTGGAGGGGGGGGAGTGGATGAGAGGGGGTTGGATGGGGGGGGGTGTGGATGAGGGGGGGGTATGAGGGGGGGGGTGCGTCACCTGCTGCGGCGCTGCACCGTATCCGGCTGCGCCGCTGGAGCAGCCCAGACCCCCGGTGTAGAGGCTGGATGAGTGCAGGGGGGAGTAGCTGCCTCCTGGGTCGTGACGTGGGGTGTGGGTGGTGTGTGGGGTGTGTTGTTGGGGCTGGTGTGGGTGGGTGGGTGTGTGTGTGGTGTGTGGGTGGTGGTTGGTGTGTGGGTGTGTGGTGTTGGTGTGGGTGGTGTGGGTGGGTGGGTGGGTGTGGTGTGGTGGTGTGGTGGTGTGGTGGGTGTGGGGGTGGTGGTAGGTGTGGTTGTGGGTGGGTGGGTGGGGTGTGGGTCGGGGGCTGGTGGTGGGTGGTGTGGGTGGGTGGGTGGGGTGGGTGGTGTGGGTCGTGGCGGTGGTGTGGGTGGTGTGGGTGGTGTGGGTGGGGTGGGTGGTGTGGGTGGTGTGTGGGTGGTGTGGGTGGTGTGGGTGGTGTGGGTGGTGTCGGTGGGCGAGAAGAGGAGACACGTGAATAGAACTACAAATGTGAAAAAACTAAAATAGCAAGGGAGTTCTGATGCAGGACGATCGCTCAAAATGTCACCTTATCATCAACCCTATTCACTGCGTTGTCATACGCAGCACTCTGTATTTTAAAATAAGAGTTGGGGGTGCATCCTATAATCTGTAGGGTGACACCTCGCACACGTACCTTGCACGCTGTAGGGGTACAGCCCACACACGTACCTTGCACGCTGTAGGGGTACAGCCCACGCACGTACCTTGCACGCTGTAGGGGTACAGCCCACACACGTACCTTGCACGCTGTAGGGGTACAGCGACTGTGCAGGCTGCGGGGCAGGGTACCCCCCGCAGTATCCGCCGCTTCCGAGGTATCCGCTGTGCGTGGGCGTCTCCGATGGTCCCAGGTCTCCCTCCGCCTTGATGCCTGAGCGCAGCACGCCTCCTGCGTGCATAGGTGCGTGCGTGAGTGTGTGTGCGTGAGTGCGTGGACGTGTGCGTGCGTGGACGTGTGCCTGCATCCGTGTGCATGTGTGAGTGCGCGTGCGTGAGTGCGTGCGTGGACGTGTGCGTGCGTGCATCCGTGCGCATGTGTGAGTGCGCGTGCGTGAGTGCGTGCATGGACGTGTGCGTGCGTGCATCCGTGCGCATGTGTGAGAGCGCGTGCGTGAGTGCGTACGTGGACGTGTGCGTGCGTGCATCCGTGCGCATGTGTGAGAGCGCGTGCGTGAGTGCGTACGTGGACGTGTGCGTGCATCCGTGCGCATGTGTGAGTGCGCGTGCGTGAGTGCGTGCATGGACGTGTGCGTGCGTGCATCCGTGCGCATGTGTGAGTGCGCGTGCGTGAGTGCGTGCATGGACGTGTGCGTGCGTGCATCCGTGCGCATGTGTGAGAGCGCGTGCGTGAGTGCGTACGTGGACGTGTGCGTGCGTGCATCCGTGCGCATGTGTGAGAGCGCGTGAGTGCATGGATGCGTGCATGCATGTGCGTGTGTGCATCCGTGCCCGGATGTATGAATGTGTGTACGAGTGCACAGGGAATGGCAGTGCAGTGGCTAGCGACCCAGGTTCGATTTCCTGCTCACGGCTTCCAACGCCAGTGACGATTATATGAACTGGTCCTGGGCCTCTCCTAAGTCGACTCAGCCTTGTATAAGTACTTGGTGCGGAGTGTGAACAATGTCACTGGGGAAGTCAAAGGCAGTCGGGCGTGGTGCTGGCCACCTACCACCTCGTGTTGCTGTGCCAACCTTCATAGGTGCTACTTGCTAACAGCACTTGCCTCCAGAACTGTGTGAAGGCTTCACGGGAGATCTTTGTCTTTGTCATGGGCAGCGGTGGTGCAAGGATTAGAGTGCTGTACTTAGAACTCACGGACTCGAGTTCTATTCGGCGCTCACGGACAACACGAGTGACAATTATCTGAACTGGTCCTGGGCCTCCCCTAGGCGGACCTCTGCCTAAAATGAGTACATGGCGCTCGCTAACAGCACTTGCCCATACAGTCTGTTGAGTCTATATGGGGGATCTTTGTCTTTGATTGTGCTGTTGGTGATAGTGGCGGTGGTGATGCTGCTGTGGTGCTGCTGGTGTTGATTCTGCTGGCGTGATTGTTGTTGGTGGTGCTGATGGTGGTAGTGCTGTTGGCGTGATTGTTGTTTGTAGTGCTGATGGTGGTGGTGCTGCTGGTGTGATTGTTGTTAGTGGTGCTGCTGGTGGTGCTGTTGGTGGTGCTGTTGGTGTGATTGTTGTTGGTGGTGCTGCTGGTGGTGGTGCTGTTGGTGGTGCTGCTGGTGTGATTGTTGTTGGTGGTGCTGCTGGTGGTGGTGCTGCTCTACCAGTGGTGGTGCTGTTGGTGTGATTATTCTTGTTGGTGGTGCTGCTGGTGGTACTGCTGGCGGTGGTACTGCTCTGGCAGTGGTGGTGCTGCTGGTGGTGGTGATGGTGGTGGCGCTGCTGCTGGTGATGGTGCTGGTGGTGGTGGTACTGCTCTGGCAGTGGTGGTGCTGCTGGTGGTGGTGATGGTGGTGGCGCTGCTGCTGGTGATGGTGCTGGTGGTGGTGGTGCTGCTCTGGCAGTGGTGGTGCTGCTGTTGGTGGTGATGGTGGTGGCGCTGCTGCTGGTGATGTGCTGGTGGTGGTGTGTGCTGCTCTGGCAGTGGTGGTGCTGCTGTTGGTGGTGCTGGTGGTGGTGCTGCTGTTGGTGGTGCTGGTGGTGGTGCTACTGGTGTGGTGGTGGTGCTGCTGCTGGTACTGCTGGTGCTGCTGGTGGTAGTGGTGGTGCTGGTGCTGCTGGTGTTGCTGGTGATGCTGGTGGTGGTGTAAGGTGGTGCTGCTCTGGCAGTGGTGGTGCTGCTCTGGCAGTGGTGTGGTGGTGGGGTGCTGCTGGTGGGCTGATGGTGGTGGCTGCTCTGGCAGTGGTGGTGGTGGTGGTGGTGGTGCTGCTGGGTGGTGGTGCTGGTGGTGCTGCTCTGGCAGTGGTGGTGCTGCTCTGGCAGTGGTGGTGCTGCTGCTGGTGGTGCTGCTGGTGGTGGTGGTGCTGCTGGTAGTGGTGGTGCTGCTCTGGCAGTGGTGGTGCTGCTCTGGCAGTGGTGGTGGTGGCGGTGCTGCTCTGGCAGTGGTGGTGCTGTTGGTGGTACTGCTCTGGCAGTGGTGGTGCTGCTGCTCTGGCAGTGGTGGTGCTGCTCTGGCAGTGGTGGTGCTGCTGGTGGTGCTGCTCTGGCAGTGGTGGTGCTGCTCTGGCAGTGGTGGTGGTGGTGGTGCTGCTCTGGCAGTGGTGGTGCTGTTGGTGGTGCTGCTCTGGCAGTGGTGGTACTGCTCTGGCAGTGGTGGTGCTGCTCTGGCAGTGGTGGTGCTGCTGGTGGTGGTGCTGCTGGTGGTGGTGCTGCTGGTGGTGGTACTGCTGGTGCTGCTGCTGCTGGTGCTGCTCTGCCAGTTTCGGTGCTGCTGCTGGTGGCGGCCGTGTGGGTGCGCGCGATGGAGCACCGTAGGTGTGCAGTTCGTAGGAGGGGTGCTGCAGGTAGGAGGGGTAGGCGCAGGGAGCCGCCGAGGACGCGTGGTGGCCCTGGCTCGGGTAGGTGGCCATCGCGTGGCCGGTGGGGTCGGCGGGGGCCGCCGATAAGCTGCGTGGGGAACGTCGCAAAGGGCACACGGGGACGCGGGCCAAGGTCTCGGCGTTCAAGCCTCGCGCGCCACCACGGCGGTAAAAACCGTGTCGCGTGCGGAGCGGACGGGCGACGGAATGATAAAATCTTCTTGGTTCTTTCGGTAAAGTCACGAAAGAACGTGACTTTACCGAAAGAACCAAGAAGATGAATCTCTGAAGTCACGAAAGCTTTAAATCGGAATTATAAAAGGCGCGGGTTGCCCTGAAATCGCTTGCCCCTGCTGCTGCTGCTGCTGCTGGAGGGATCGGGCTCCACGAGAGAAAGGTGCTGTGGGCACATTCGCTTTTCTTTTCCCCCCCACAATTAATTAGCCAGGTTGTCTCCGAAGAGGGAGGAATACCCCGCGCCCTATCCCCCATCCCCCCATCGCACGCCATGTGTCTGTCGACGAGCAGCGCTGGTCGTGATGCCCATTCGAGCTGCCAGGGTGGGCAGAGGCCGGAAAATGTAATCAACTTTGACCATTTCGATTTAAGCTTTCGTGACTGCAGGGATTCATCTTCTTGGTTCTTTCGGTAAAGTCACGTAGAAGGGAAATAATAAAATAATAAATAAAACATAATAAATGATTCTCACGACGTTTCGGCCACATCGCAAGCAGCCGTCCTCAGGTGGAGAACAGGTCTGTCGAGAAGACAGAGTCTGAAGGACTCAGTCTGAATGACTCTGTCTTCTCGACAGACCTGTTCTCCACCTGAGGACGGCTGCTTGCGTTGTGGCCGAAACGTCGTGAGATTTATTTTATTATGTTTTATTTTTATTATTTTATTATTTCCATTCTACGTGACTTTACCGAAAGAACCAAGAAGATGAACTTTCACCATTGTTTCAAATGCTGTGCTGGGAGATCAAATTCTAAGTTGCGACATCTGGATTGAAAGTCCAGTGGGCCAACTACGTATGTACTGTATAGTAGTACGGATATTTATTTTTCCGGAAAAATATACAAGCCTCTTCGTTCAGGAAGGTCCTGCATCGGGACGTTTGTCCGATGCCACGAATCGATTATAAGCGGCCGTGAAAACTTACGAGCAAGGAGGTACTTATTTTAGGCCGAGTCAACCTAGAGAAGTCCGAGACCAGCTTTAGACACAAATTGCCGGCAATGTGGATCGTACGCAGGAATCTAGACTAAATTTATAAACTAGACTATTTTTGTTTGGGTCTTTCGGTGAAGTTACGTAGATAGGTTCAAAGAAAATAAGAAAAAACTACGACGTTTCGATCGCAACACAAGCGGACGTCTTCAGGAAAACCTATCTACATGACTTTACCGAAAGACCCAAAGAATATGAATTCCTGCAGTCACGAAAGCTTTAAGTCAAGATTTAAACTATTGTTATTTTACCAGGTAAGGCCCACTGAGATATTTAGCTCTTTTTCAGAAGCGACCTGGCCACAAATTATAACTCAACGAAGTGGCTTATCACGTGGAAATTTATAGCAGCCAAATACTGGAAATGCACTTTTCTCAATGTGGAGGGAAAAAAACGGAGGACCCGGAGAAAAATCCCACGCGACCAACGGTGAAGAGAGATACGCAAACTTCAAATATACAGGCGTCAGGGTCAGGATCGAACCCACGACCTCCTGCGTAACCAGGCGAGGTAGTTAACATCTCCTCGCCACCGTGGCACCCTGGCACAGCGTGCGAGCCAACCGCTACAACCGACGCGGCGTGTCACATGCACACACAAAGATAAAGATCCCCCGTATAGCCTTAACAGACTGTAGGGGCAAGTGCTGTTAGCGAGCACCTATGAAGGCCGGAACGGTACACGAGGGGGTGGGTGGCCAGCACCACGCCCGACCGCCTTTCTCTCCCCAGTGGCGATGTTTACACACCACATCAGGTACGCATTTGAGGCTGAGTCGACCTAGGGAAGGCCCAGGACCGGTTCAGATAATCGTCACTGGGTGTTGGCCGTGAGCGGGAATCGAACCCGGGTCGCTAGGTTCATAGCGCAGTGCGCTAACCACTACACTACCGCACACACTCACACATGCTCACACACTCACACACACACGCACACATGCACACACGCTCACGCACACACGCACGCACTAGCACTCACGCACGCACACGCACGCACACGCACACACTCACACACGCTCACGCACACACTCACACGCGCACACTCACACACGCACACGCGCACACACGCACTAGCACTAGCACTCACGCGAGTGGTGCGACCCCCCCCCCCCCAGTGGCAGGGGGAAACCAAACCCGGGTTTTGCAGCCAGCAGGTATTCGGTGGGAAAATTGTTGCGAGATTGATTGATTGCGGGGTAGAAGGATTGGGACAGGGATGAACCGTAATCTTTAAACCATGCAGGCAGGGGCCAGGAGGAGGCATTCCATAGGGCGCGGAAAACACGCAACCACCCCTCCCACCACCACCACACACCTCTGCACTGATGGAGGCTTCCTGCACTGAGCCCCGCTTTGATCTGAGCGAGTCCACGAGTGGGGTGTTACGCAAGCCACCCACGAAAGAGGTGCTTAAGAGGTCAAAGCCAGAGCCCGCTACCGGATGGCGAAAGGTGCAAAGGACACGACAGAATTCAGCAGGCCATGTCGCTCAATCCAGCTTGCATTTTTTTGTTTTAGCGGTTCGCGGTGTTGGCGGCGTCGTTCTGTTTCAATAAAGTGGCGTGGTGCACGGTGGACATGAAAATCAAAAAAACTCAAAGTGGCCAAAAATGTGGCAATTGATTGATTGAAAGCGGGAGGCAAAGAGTTTGGGGTAGAGCACATCTCAGCTGACTAGCCATCCAGTCATGACTACTGATCCTCACCAACTAGCCACCCAGTCACGAGTACTTGACCTGCCAGTGACTCTAACCACCTAGCCACCCAGCTTCAATACTAGCCCTTCCATTGACTAACTACTTAGCCACCCAGCCTCTAGTACCGAGCCCATCAATTGACGACAACACTAACCTCTTCTTGGTTCTTTCCTACGCATTCCACAAGTAGTGAATAATCCCATATCTGCATTTCCTATAAATATGCTAAATTCCTCTTGATATGTAAATTCCTTTGTCAAGGCGCCCCTTCCCCCCTCCAACCCAGCTTAAATATACGCTGCTAAGCATGGTGGTGCCCATTCAGACGCTGTCTTTCCGACAGACCTGTTCTTCACCTGAGGACGGCTGCTTGCGTTGTGGCCGAAACGTCGTGAGAATTGTATTTTATTATGTTCTATTTTTATTATTTTATTATTTCCCTTCTACGTGACTTACCGAAAGAACCAAGAAGATGAATCCCTGCAGTCACGAAAGCTTTAAATTTAAAAATAAAACTAACCTGTCCCTCTGGCATTTCACCAGGCTCGTGACGGTGTCTGCATAGGGGTCAGTGTACCGCGCTACATCCCTGCTTGACCCCGAGTGCAAATCCTGTCCACGGATATCACGGGTTAATCCTGAGTCTACTGTGTCGACTTCGACCCCTAACTTTCTTTTATCCGGGGCAATGTGAACACAGGTGTGTACGGATTAGCCAAATGACGCACACTCATGTGGCGCACGCTGACCCAAAATAGCTTCTCGTGAACACGAGACCCCACTGTCAAATCAGGCCAAATGGGATAGCCTCGTCTCTTGATTAATTAGCATCGATGTTATTGTGACATACAATGTTTGCGAATATAAAAATGGAAAACCTGGTTAATGGATCTGTTGGATTAGCAAGTGAGTGGAACACACTCTATTGAAAACAGATGATACATTTTTACAGCTTATGATGAAATCCCAAACCATTTTTTGAGCGTAACAAATTAGACAATTTTACATGGGTGAAAACGAGCTCGCGTATCTTGTTCAAAAACATGCACAAGGGGAAGCCGATGATGACTTTCATTTACTCGGGTCCAGTGGCATGATGTCACTGGGGAGATACACGAGCAGATGAACCCACGATAGAATACATCTCAGACTAAAAAAACTGGAGTCTCTTTGAGCATAAAGGACTTCGCTGGTCATCCATGCAGCGGCTTCTGGCTGGCCATCGAACAAAGACGGTCACCGGCTTTCAGATGCGCTTTTGGCGGCCGTCTGGAACGCTCTTCCCACACGATTTTAGGAAGTCAATGGAGCTATGCACCTGTTAATCTAGATTGAAAACCCATTTCTTTAGAACTGCTTTATGTGTTAAGTTTATTGTCCTTCCCCCACACCTCCTGATTAGCACGGGTGGCTACGTACGGCGCGAAAGAAGTTCAACATACGTAACACACAAGATACAGTAAAACCTTGGATTGCGAGTAACTTGGTCTGCGAGTGTTTTGCAAGACGAGCAAACATTTTAAATAAATATCAATTTGATAAACGAGCGAGGTCTTGCAATGCGAGCAGTACGTGTATACGCTTTGTCTGCCGAGCGTCACGTGATCACAACTGATAATCGAGTGCTTTGATATACAAGTGCTTTGGATTACAAACACGTTTCCGGAACGAATTATGCTCGCAATCCAAGACAATTTTACATACATACATAAACATGCGTACATGTGCATCGGTTAATCGTGAAATGAGATGAAGCACTCACTTGGGTGGGTAGAGCGCGGGGGTGTAATGGTTGTGCGATGGGGCGCAGTCGTAAACTTCACAGGCAGCTGAAACGAAGAAAATGCATCATGGGACCTCCTTTGCCATTACCAAAATATACTAATAGGGTTTTTCCCCTTTTTTCTGGCAACAAAACTGACACCTTTTTCAAGGAATCATGCTTACATTAACCACAACTACTTGCAGTCAAATGCAATCAGAGTATTGTTTTTTGTTTGCATTTGACTGCAAGTATTGTGGTTAATGTAAGCATGATTCCTTGCAAAAGGTGTCAGTTTTGTTGCCAGAAAAAAGGGGAAAAACCCTATTAGTGTAAAGAAAATGCAGTCGCGTCATTAAGACACGGGGTCTGCTCGTGCACATTGCACAGCAAAACATCTGAGCCATGAACGTGCCGCATTATAATCATTGCATTCTTCTTGTGCGGCGGTGTGTCTGAGCAACTTCGTTTTACGAATGAAAGTTGCATTTCTGTCCGCCTGATGAAGCTTGTTGTGATTACTGGCGGAACGTCGCACTCGGATTGTAAATGTTATGGCTTTGCTCTCCAACACACCGGTGTGCTGTAGCTGTACTTGGCACGTTCTGTTTAGGTAACAAAGCTTACTAATTGGCTGTGTCGGGTGGTGTCGGGTTTAACGACACATTTATATATTTACGCGATTTAACCCCAAAAAAAACCTGTATTATGGATGTTTTACTATTGTCAGGTGTTTAACTGTATCTGTCAACGTCATCGTCTCCACTGCATTTGTTTAGCAAAAGTTCCCCTTTAATCCGGTGGTCAAATTCCATTCGTCGATTGTATCGAAATTATTGCTGGGGAATATGTCGAGACTCACAAATCCTACGCGCGATTCAATACGAAATGCAATTACACGGCTTGATTTCAAGCGAACACAGATCGTTTAATCGCTTCTCATGACTCCTAAATCATTTAAGAGGAATATATTCATCATAATTTCACATATATGGAAAATATTCCAAAGAACACAGGATGAGATGTTACTATCCTTTGTGCAAGCACCTCCAAGAGTTCATGAACAGTGAGCCTGGTGAAATTTGGGGAGCGCATCGTCAGTAGTGAGCCTTTGGTTCCTAGGGTGTTTCGGCCTTTCACACTATACACCCTCCCCAAAGGCGGCCAGCGACAGGGTGATCAATCCTACGCTTGCGTCCCATTCCCAATTAGTCATAGGAGTTGCCTTGTTGTTGATAGCCAACATCCCATGGGACTATGCATGGCAGGGGCGTCCTCCTCCCTGAGTCAAGCATTGTTGACTTAAGTTGCAGAAAAATCGTGCGTCTTATAATTGGGAGAACACGGCATTGTTGTGGACAGCCAGCGTCCAGGAGATGGCAATCGTATCGCTGCTTTAAAATGGGTAGGGATGTCATCGGAATATATTCCAGCCTCTGGGGTGACCAGCGTAACATTACGGAGAACCGTCTTCTAGGAAGGTGATTCCTACCAACGAGATTCAAAACACATCTTCCGCGAGACGAGATGCATTCTCCGCATCACAAGACTCACCCGCCAATGTTTGCTGCTGAAACACTGTGGGGGGGTGGGGGGGGAAGACGAGCGCGTCTTATGATCCGAAGAATACGCCGATCGTCAACTTTTCGCAACGACTGATGTAGCAATAGCGAGACCGGCTGCTACGAGCGAATTTACAAAGCCAAAGCCGAGGTCGACCGAGTCTGTCCCCGCAAGGGGTTACACGAGCGCGCGCGCGCGAGCCTTGCCGCGCGCGTTAATTTGCGCGTGTTCCGCTCACTTATTTTTGGAATGCGCCGCTTCTCAAGCGCCTGCCCGTACACGCACATTCGGCGCAAGACGCCGAAGGAGCCGCTCGGTGAAAGAAAAAAAGAAGAAATAAGCATAACCCGTAAAAACAAAGTTTTTCACTCTAAATCCTTTATATGCGTGGCGGCTAGAGTCCTCTCGTCCTCTGGCTTGAGATGGCTGCCACCTATGGGTCAGATTATTGTCTGCAGTATTAAACAATTGGTAATTAAATATTTAATTTGTTTTCCCTAAACAGTGTAAAATTTTGGAAAAAAATTTTCACGAACATTAATTGTCTCGCACAACGAGTCTGTGTGCAAAATGTCAGCTCGATTGGATCACGGGAAGTGGGTTAAAAAACGACCGAAAGGTTTGCACGGTCGTAAGCAAGCAAGCAAGCACGCAAGCAAGCAAGCGAACTTAATATAAAGGATTTAAAAAAACCACCAACCCAGCGCCGGCCTCGCCGACGGTGGGCCTCCGTCAGGCGCGACGCTCGGGGCGACGGGCGTCGACCACGATCGACGTCAACCGCGTGTCAACGCCGCCCAGGGTGTCGAGAGCGCGTGGCCATGGGGGGAGACCGCGGGCGTGCCGCTCGCAGAGGGGTCCCGGGATTTCATCCGAGTGCGCCCCACGAAAATTTGCAAGGCGAGATAAACTTTTTTTTATTTTTTATCAGGCAAGGGCCCACTGAGCTGTACTGCAATTTTTGTAGAAGCGACCTGGCCACCCACGAATGATAGCTCAACGAAGCGGCATATCGCGCGGAAATTAATTGCAGCCAAATAGAAGGAAAATAATAAAAATAAAACATTATAAAATAATTCTCACGACGTTTCGGCCACAACGCAAGCAGCCGTCTTCAGGTGGAGAACAGGTCTCTCGAGAAGGCAGAGTCTGAAGACTGTCGAGAAGGCAGAGTCTGAAGACTCTGTTCTCCACCTGAAGACGGCTGCTTGCATTGTGGCCGAAACGTCGTGAGAATTATTTGATTATGTTTTATTTTTATTATTTTATTATTTTCGTTCTACGTGACTTTACCAAAAGAACCAAGAAGATGAATCCCTGCAGTCAAGAAAGCTTTAAATCGAAAAATGCAGCCAAATACTCTGAACGCACGTCGATTCCAAATGTGGAAGGGAAAATTCGGACGAACCCGGACAAACATCCACGCGACCACGGGGAGAATGCGCAAACTCCACATATACGGGCAATCATTGGACGATTATCGCCCGGCCGGCCTAGCATCGCTTCACAAAACCCAACACTTCGATTTAAAGCTTTCGTGACTGCAGGGATTCATCTTCTTGGTTTTTTCGGTAAAGTCACGTAGAAGGGAAGTAATAAAATAATAAAAATAAAACATAATAAAATAAAATAATTCTCACGACGTTTTGGCTACAACGCAACCTGAAGACGGCTGCTTGCGTTGCAGCCGAAACGTCGTGAGAATTATTTTATTTTATTATGTTTTATTTTTATTATTTCATTACTTCCCTTCTACGTGACTTTACCGAAAGAACCAAGAAGAAAAAAACCCAACACATTGATCAATAGACGGCCATCAAAATAAGACGACATCCTTAATAGGCGAAATTTTGGGCAATTGCACTTCTGCTTAGCAGAGAGACGACTTTGCCAGTCTCCGCACGGTGCAGACTGGATAACCACCAGATATAGTCGGCGAGAACAGTCGACAGACGTACACACGCATGTTGAACTTCTTTCGCACCGTACGTAGCCAACCGTGCTAATATGAGGTGCGGGCACAGTTTAAGCGTCACAAGCGTGTGCTCATTCTCAATTGTTGTTGTGTTTATCGCCCATAGCTCCATGGGTTTGTCTGGCCCGGTGGCTCAGTGGTCGAGCAGGTGGCTCACAATTTGAAGGTTGCCAGTTCAACTCCTGGTTGGGGATTTACCTGGCCCATTATCCCTCCGGGTTTCGATAAGATAGGTACCGCCTTGTGGGCAAGTCAGCAGTGGCTGTCATAAGGATATACTCGCCCTCGGCATAGGAAAGTGGAATTTCCATCAATGGCTCAGGGCTGTAAACGGGAGATTGGCACCACCTCCATGCTTATTCGAGCTGGAAACCACTCTATGTTTTTGAACATCATGTTTGGTTTGTAGTCACTTCCTCTCTGAGTAATCATCTCAAATACTCATTTATCATCGTGCTTTGAACATGTACTACATGGAGGCTGCAGTCTAAACAGCATACTTGTCAAACCCTTATCGGTCCCTACCTTATTATAGACCAATTTAGACCTTATTGGTCACCTCGTGCCCTTATAAATATCAACGTTCATCCTACAAAGTCCCATCACAAGGGAGAAACACAAATAGACAAAAAAAATGTTTTGCCCGTGTTCAAACGGCTGTACGCCGTATGGACCTGCAAACTCAATTTCCCTGCACAAGAATACGGTGAACCGCATGGGTTGACAGCTGTGTAATAAATGATGATGACGACGACGATGATGATGGGGTGCAATGATGAATCCCCCAAAGATTCAATGAATTGTCAAGATTCTGGATTGTAATTTGATTCAAGTAAAATGTTATTGCTTAACATTCCAACACAATTCCAGTCCCTAAGGAATCGTTATTAAGCGGAAATATTTTTCCACTCATGTTTTACATTTCTTTAGCAATTTCTGGTGATTGTGAGTTTTTTAAATCTCCAGCCACCATCATCATGATGATCGCCCATGGCTTAATCCACTGCTGGATTAATGCCTCTCATGACCTTGCGATGTTAAGAATACGCCTAGAACTGATTACAGAGAATGGGTTCAAGTGATTCCTCCAGCCACTTGAGGCTGCTACATTTCGCACAATGTGGCAGAAGTGACAGCGCGACTTGGCCGAGGAGACATTCGTCCAGCAGTGGATTGACCATGTTGAACACATCACAATTTCACATTCAATCACGTTACCGCGCGTTACCCGTTTGCTATCTGCAATAAATCACACGGACGCTATGCGTAACACACGCCTGTTAGCCAGTGCCGGATTAAGCTGGTTGCGGGGCCTGTAGCGTATGTTATAAGGGGCCCGAAATAAATAAAAACACGCAAATATTAAAACAAAATATTCACTTCGCATAGTAAAGTAATTGTATTTTTTCATTTGCTATACAGCCAGATAATACGCCAAATCGCTAACCTTAAACACCCAGTCGTTCATAAAAGTTGAAGGCAGTATAGTACTATAGTGATAGAGCAGAATCACTGAACCGGAATTGATA